CACAATATTTCATTTAAATAATTTTTAAATTATTTTTAATAGTTATTTAGGACTACGATTATGCATGCTTCTGGTGTGTTTCTACTATAATCACTGTGTCATCATGATCAGACAAGTTTGTACAACATTACTCTATCAAGCATTTAATTTCGCAACACACTTTATTTTATTTCTTACAGAGAGCAAAAAAATATAGATATAAATTTGTTAAAGCATGATTGAGAAATGGGTCTGAATTCCTGTAAAATAATCACGTTTTTTTTATTTGTATACAGCATATTATTTGTCTGCCAAGATTTGTTAAAAGAATATTAGTAGAAGTTTATTTATTTTTAATGTATCCAGGAATGTGCATGACTTATTAATTTGCATGGGACATGCATGTAATGCTATAGGCAGGAAGTCCAAATCCTGGTTTGTTTTTTAGCTACGACTGATTAATTACAGACAAAAACGACATGCTGCTGACAATTTGGTGGACAATTTTGACAGTCTTTAATTAGAAAACGAAAGCATACAAAAGATGATACAGGTTTCTTGTGTACATTAATTGTCACAAAAAATGCTCAAAAAAATATAGATTTCTTTTAAAATGAAATTGACTATCAGGTAATTGACAAACATTGATATGACATATGTACTACTGTATTCACCTATATCTAAGCTTATACCGGTACATATAGGGAGTGTGTGGTAGAATGTCTGAATTGTAGCTCAGTTTTCAACACATTTCACAGCGCACAGCAGGGGATGTCATTTCGTTCCAAAACACTTTTGTTCCACTGCTTTCTGTCCCACTGCTATTTCGTCCTACTACAGTTTCGTCCCACTTCAGTTAGGGTTAGGGTAAGACATCATTATACATTGTAAGAGTAGTAGTAATCAGCTTGAGCGTAGCATAGCATAGTGGGAAGGTGTTTAGGCTGAAACGACTGTGAATCATATCTCCCCTATTGCTACAGAACAGATTTGAAACATAATTTGATATTTCCCATGTGGCAATACTGTTAGTTATGCCGAATACATTTTTAATCAACTTGTGAATGTATTCAACTTAAATGTAGAAGTAAGCACTGTTCTCAGAATTTGACTTTTGTGACAATCAGTTTATTTATATTGATAGATTTTATGACAGTAAAGGAAGTGTTGATCAAGTCAAATTATTGTCTTTATTAAAAGATAACTACAAGGTAAGTCATTAGAATGTGTCTCAGGGGTGGGGCATATCTGTTGCTGTTGCTGTGAACAGTTTTCAAATATTTTTTATCCAGTCATTCTCAAACCTATAACATAAATTGGTTCCCATTGTTGACCCAAACTCTGTCAAGTACATGTAAGAATGAGTGATAAAATGCCTTGCATGCAATTTTTGTTTCACAGAATATAATAGGCTGGTATACATTTCGGCGTATGACCCCTCTCCAGGTCAGCATGAAGGAAAGAACTATACATCAAAGTCTGTTACATGTTTTCCATGGCATATCCATGAATACATTCATTTTTGGAATGTTCACCATGTCGCCTAACTCGCTTGTATCTACATACACCATGGATTTTACATTTACAACATTTAATGGCAGGTAAGTGTGTTGTCATGGCAACATGGTTACTATCTCAGACAGATGAGTAGCACAGAATTCACAATTAATATTACCGATAGTTTTTAAAATAGCAGACTTCTCATTAAACTGTACTGGATTTATATTTCTGCTCCCGTTCGAAACTTATATAGATAAAATAAATGTTGCTTTTCTGTTCAAGATGACACCCTGCACTAATAGTATGAATACAGAGAAGAAAAAACAAAACTGTTAAAATATTTGAACCATAACCATTTCTTTCATAGAGTTGTGTTAGTATTCAGACATGTGAATTCTTCATTGCATGTCATACTTGGATATTGTCTATTTTTGATGTTTTTTGTTTCTTTATTTGTGTTTCAGTGACTTCAATACTTTACCTATAATACATTGTTTCTATATTTGTGTTTCAGTGACTTCAATACTTTACCACTTACAATTGTTAATTTAGGAGACACTGAAAACTCGGATTATAAATTATCGTCAAATTCCACAATCAACACAAAAACTGGTGTTTACAGCCAAATATTAGACAGTTTCAGGTAAGATGTACCTCTCAATTATTGGGTATTTAATATGGCCTGAAGAGTTGCCAATTAAAAGTTTTAATACATTGGGTACTTGACTTTGAACTATAGACAATCAGAAATGTCATGTTGGTCCGACAGAGCATGTGCTTCGCTGTTCAGTCGAGCGGTACACGGGACTGGTGTAACGATTATTCAATTGTATTTATATCTCAGTTTCTTACTGGATGTTAAAATTTAGTTGTGATAAATAATTTGACGTTTGGGACAACGTGTGAAAAAAGTACCTTGCCATACCCAAAGCCGGCATGTGAAAAAAATAACCCTGCCTGGTATACAGGAAGTAAACATGCAGAACAGTTCAGCTCTGAAAATTTGACGTCATAATTGGGCAGGGACACTCTGTATAAGGAGTGAGGTTATTGACACGTCTCTTGATTTGAATTTTATTTGTCGGAGCTCGGACGCCGCTTCTACACGGAATCCTTCTCAAGTTTATTCTCGGCTTCATTTTCCACTTCAACGAGGTGTTTTTTATATGATCACCGGTGGATCGGTGCCGGTAAACCCATGTATGTGGCAAATTTTGCCATTGCACGTCGGCCTTTACCAATCCCTCTTCCTGCGATCACCTTTTTCTGGTTTACTTGGAACTGTTTTCCTTGTTTTCAAAAGATGTGAAAATGCTCTTGGCTGAGGAAAAATAACATTCGGAATTTGAACATTTAAATTGGAAGTGGGATCCCTAGCCATGCCGTGTTTTCCTCCAATGTCAAATCCCTTCGTTGCAGCTTAAACACCACAATTGCCGAAAAGGTTCGCTATTTAAAATGTAGACATCAATCAGTCTCAGTGATCTATCTGCGTCAGCCATCTCATCTTCGTCACATGGTCACAATTCCCTTTCTGATGCACTTCTTGGCGCTTCTTCTATTTCTTCAATGTCTGAGCTACATGTAGATAATGTTGCACCGTCACAGCAGTATCGGCGGAGTTCAAACTTTCGCAGGACTCATACCACGATCGATGTTTGTTTTTTTGAGACGAAGTTTTGCTTCTTCGGACATTGGAGTCATATTCTTCCTTTTTCGTCCCTTCCTACTCTTCATTTCTAATAATAATTCTGATAACAATTTTAAGGAGCGCTAAGTTTTGGATGTGTCACACTCAGTGTACTAATATAGAACGATCACAGAGACAGGGTGTGTATGCGTTGTTTCCGTTGCTAAGTAGGCCAACTTATGCAAATTAGGTCAATATTTATTGTTTGCACTCAAAGGCGATTATCCTGAAATCAACGTGAGTGGTCTGCTGTTATAAACACATATCCTAACTTTTTTGTTAAAAATGTTTTTTTGGGTGTACTGGTTAGTATTTTGAGTGGGAAACGCATACATTACATGCAGATAGACAAATGCCACCAAAGAGACAATAAACAAAAAATGTATAAAATAGCGACTGTAAAGTCTACTACATCCTTAAAGTGATATGTATTATACATGTATTACATAACTGTAATATGTCAAGTATTACTGATAGGAACATGCAACCATGCAATGATGAAGTCATTCGAGAGGAGATATGACAACTATATCGCATGACCATATATGTATAAAAAAACTCACTTTCCCCATCTTAAGTCTTAAATGACTTCATTGCCAATGGGCCCCATGTTATTTGATATCTCCTAGTACCACTCATCAGATTAAAATGAAAGTTGGTATATCAGAGTTCTTTGGTTGTCTACCAACATGTTTTATTTATGATTAAAACTGTGCAAATTAATTTTCATATTCAATAGCAATTTTTTATGTTTTTCCACTTGTATCAGATTTTAATGAAACTTGCTACATAGATGCTTTGGATAATCTACAGACCTGATTAGTTTGTTTTGGGGATAATTCACAAATGTGATTAGCTTAGAGTTGAAGTCGTTGCATATGAATACCTATTTAGCTTAATTTAGTCCATTTTCTTATTATAATATTGGAATTTGATTTGATTGTGCATATGTGCTCTGGGATAAATCACAGATATACAATGAAATGTATTCTTTATGCTTTAAGAGTGTTTTTTGTTTTTATTACACTATTTGACCCTGGATAACTTTATTAGAGATTGGATCCCAGCTTGCCTGAAAAACTGGGTCCCTCTTCAATTATTGGAGTCCGGGAAGCAAAATATGGGGTTAACACAATCCCTGTTATGTTTTTGGAGACTCTCTGAAAGTGGTGCATTAAGCTAAATATTCAAACCAGGATTACATGTAATATGTATAGATTAATTCGTTGACATTCATGTCTCATTGAACTGTTGTTTTCCTCTCCAATCACACCAATCAATCACATTGTGATTTGTACCTGTAGGGAGCATTGCATGGATCGGACAGGACAATTAAAATGCATCAAAGATATACAGCATATGAACTGTACCCTGCAATCAAAACTAGTGGTAAGTTGAAACTGTTACTATTATGAGTGGCAGTACTTTTACCATCATGTCTATACATCTATATATTGAAGTATTTAGTGTGGAGAAACACTGTTGTGTTATATGTATTGTACCATAATGGTTTCTTCTAGTCCCTACGTCAGAAAGTTGGTTCAAGTGAAGACAGTCTGCAAAAGTTGTCGCTTGAAGTTCAGGAACTGAGAACAAAAGCTGAAGTAAAACGAAAAAAAGTGATAAAACAAAAAGGTAAGATTCCCATGAAATTGAAAAAAAAAAAATTGAGATGTACACTTTGTTTTATCACGTGATAAATTCCCATTCTGACAAAGTTTAAAGAGGAACTTATGGAATGACGTTATTGTGTCTATTCATGTGTGTACAACCCCATCTGTATCTTAGACATTACTTGGCAGATCACATTCAAACTTGAAACGTAGATCTTTGGAGACATGTTTACATCCATTTGTTTGATGATCATTTTCAAGTTGGCCAAATGGCAACCATTTTAATGTTCAACATCAAAATAATTTTGTTATTTATGTTATTTATGTCATAATATTAGTATTTTCATTCCAGAAATTTTATTCCACACTGCCGAGACATATCAATCAGTCTGACATCAATATACCTCGTGTTGCTCATAAAAACCCTACAGAACTGGAGCCTTTACACATTCCTCAGGATCGGGGGGGGGGGGGGCCTTATAGACTAGAAAGCAAACATCCATTGGCCAACTTGCAGGAGTTACTAAGTTCATTGATTAAACCTTCCATATATACAGACAAAAAGCAAACAGCAGTTACAACATACACGAAATACAGTATACTTCATGAACAGATTTTAATCATCAATGGACAACTGTGGAAAGTTTCTATTTCTAGAGTACTATAGTATATTTGTCAATTAAACAATCCTTTCTCCTTTGTCAATGACTTGTATTACATCTTCCTTTACAGAAGAGAAAAAATTTGAAGAGCAATTCGTTGAAGAAAATACTAAGACTATTGACACAAGTCCAGTTGCTGCAGAAACAAGCTGTGGCATATGCGAAGAAAAAGCAGTTGTCACAGTTGAAGCCCCTGTGAAAAAGACATTAGATTCCAGTGATCCTTTTCTTGGAATTTTAACCGAGATGAAAGCCTCGATAATAAAATCAAAGAAAAATCCAAAGTTGAGGAAGAGTATTGCTGAGGAGTGTGATGATGGAGGAGAAGGACAGGTATTTGACATGTCATCTGAAGACCAGGTAGATAGGAAAACTAACAATGGACACCCGTATGTACCGCTAGATGATGTCAATGATGGAGACAGCGACGCTACATTTGTATCGAGTCAGCACAGTCTGAAAGAAGACTGTGGGACGTCAGATTCACCTGTATTTTGAAAGCATTGCTGAAGTGACAAGGACATTTGAATCGTTTTGATGAGTTGACATCTGTTGTCTACAGAAACTTAATATGGCCATATTCTTAAGGCACAGGTTGCTGTGGTTTGTGTAAAATGATTGAATTGATGATAACTGTGTTCACTGCGCTACTACCGATAATCACTGACATTACCGATAATCATTCATATTTAACAGCATATAGGAAAGTTTTTTAATTTAATATATTTATTTTATTGTGTGTATTAATGGCTGTTACAACTTTGCTGTATCTGTTGACAGTGTTTATAAATGTCTACTACATCTTGGCTATATATGTTGAGAAGGGTCTGATGGATTATTGTTGGTACATTGTATGTCATCAGCAGTCTAGCAGATTTACTTGAGGGTCTGTAGAACCATAATCTATATAGATTATATTCTTTAACCAAGTGGAGGGCCATAATGGCCTTTGTGTGTCACTTCAATGAGGGCCATAAGGGCATTTGAGTGTCACAACAGGGAAGATCATTAGGGTTTTGATTGTCACCCCAGGGAGGGGCCATCAAGGTTTTGATTGTCACCCCAGGGAGGGGCCATCAAGGTTTTGATTGTCACCCCAGGGAGGGGCCATCAAGGTTTTGATTGTCACCCCAGGGAGGGCCATCAGGGCTTTGATTGTCACCCCAGGGAGGGCCATCAAGGTTTTGATTGTCACCCCAGGGAGGGCCATCAAGGTTTTGATTGTCACCCCAGGGAGGGCCATCAGGGCTTTGAATGTCACTCAGAGAAGTCCATCAGGGCTTTGAGTGCCTTCCCCCAAGGGAGGGCTATCAGGACATTGAGTGTCAACCCAGGGAGTGCCATTATGGCCTTTGAGTGTCAACCTAGGGAGTGCCATTATGGCCTTTGAGTGTCAACCTAGGGAGTGCCATTATGGCCTTTGAGTGTCAACCTAGGGAGTGCCATTATGGCCTTTGAGTGTCAACCTAGGGAGTGCCATTATGGCCTTTGAGTGTCAACCTAGGGAGTGCCATTATGGCCTTTGAGTGTCAACCTAGGGAGTGCCATTATGGCCCTTGAGTGTCAACCTAGGGAGTGCCATTATGGCCTTTGAGTGTCAACCTAGGGAGTGCCATTATGGCCTTTGAGTGTCAACCTAGGGAGTGCCATTATGGCCTTTGAGTGCACAGAGAGAGCCTATGAAGCTCATAAAGATGACTAGAAATACTATAATATGAATAAATTGAAATAAAGTGCATCATATCAGGAATGTAACAGTTCAGTGTTTTTTTTTTTCAGCACTCAGAACTGCATGACATGGTTTGATATGTGAGATCAAAGTATCAACAACGCTGAATATACAACAAATTAATTATAAGTTAAGCTATGCTTATTGACAGTATCATTTTAATTGGTCGTTTACTCGTTGTTAATCCATGGTCAGTTAATAGTTAGGACATATAAACCACATATGGTACACAATAGTTGTTTATATGCCATGACCATGATGATTTAACTTATCAAACAAATACCAATATAAATATAAAATAATGAGATAAAGCAGAATAAGACTCAACATTTTGTATCATGGTTGCTCCATGAATATGAAAAACATTCATATTTGCATTCTAGACCAATTGTAACACAGACAAAGTCTGATATATAAATTAATTAGCTCATAATACATCCAACTAACAATTTCTGTATACCAGTAATCTCTTTGTTGTTCTTTATTTATGTTCGCCTACATGTACATCCCATCTTCTTTTAAATATATATGTTGTTATGGTTACATGTAAAGTAACTTATGCTTGCCATTTCAAAGCACCGCTGTCACACAGAATATTTGAATTTTGTTTAAACAATGTATTTATACACATTGTATACATCGTCATGGTAACATTTTTATTTGTGACGATGAATACTAACGACTATGAGAAATGTTTTTGAACTGTCTATTGCATTAGTGCACATGTAGTAAGACCAGCGAACAAAACACTTACAATTCACTCTTGTATAGTGGTGTTCTAATGATGACACCATGTATGGAGAATTTACAATTTTTTTTTATGAATCGGTGATATTTAGCAATTCACGATACTTAATATTATTAGCTTAATAATTGTGACAAGTGTTTTTTTTTATATTATTTTAAAACACTATTTTTTTTGCATTATTTGATATTTTGAATCTGTACTGCATATATTGTAATGCTTTTTAGTCCTATGCTTTCTTTCCTGTTCCCTTTCCTTCCTGTTTTTTTAAATATTATTTTAATAAATTCAAATCACTCGAATTGTTAATCCAAATTATATTGGTATGCTTACGTATAATTTACATAAAAGAATATTCCTTGAAATTATGAATACTTTTTAATACAGTAAGTCAGTTGATAAGTAAATATATATATATATAGCTGTAGCAGTAATGTAGGGGATCCAAGCTAGTTGTTGTAGGAAGTCTTGTGATTGTCAACTCTGGAATATGTAATTGTTTTCATCATTTTAGATTTGGAAAATGGGACATACACAGGAATAGGGTGCTTAGAGTACAGGAATTAGCTTGGCTAGATTTCTAGGGTTAGTGTGTTAAACGGTTTTGAAATAAAGTAGATAGACCACAGTTTGAAATAAAGTGGATAGACTACAGTTTTGAAATAAAGTGGATAAACCACAGTTTTGACATAAAGTGGATAGACCACAGTTTTGAAATAAAGTGGGTAGTCCACGGTTTTGAAATAAAGTAGATAGACCACAGTTTGAAATAAAGTGGATAGACTACAGTTTTGAAATAAAGTGGATAAACCACAGTTTTGACATAAAGTGGATAGACCACAGTTTTGAAATAAAGTGGGTAGTCCACGGTTTTGAAATAAAGTAGATAGACCACAGTTTGAAATAAAGTGGATAGACTACAGTTTTGAATAAGTGATAGACCACAGTTTTGAAATAA